AATCGAGAAACAAATTGCAGGACAATAAGTATGACTATGTTCCATGTATTTGTCCGCATATATATCTTGAGAACAGAGGAATATATGATCCCTTATCTAAAGGACGAGTCACTGACTGGGTCAGAGTTCGACAACGACTTTTGAAAGCTTACGATTGCTAATCGGATCCTGAAGTTGCATTGGCAGTTATAGTTATTAGACTTATCCAAGTGGGAGACTGTTGGATTTGGTGTCTAAGCCCATAACTATAATTGGGATGTACTTGACCCGATTGTAGCATGGTCCTTTTGGGTTGCCTTCATCAGTGCAATTTGATAGGATAGACATTTGAGAATAAGGTTATTTATGATTTATTAATATATTACAAGTATAATATATTAATATGAAATCATATTATTTAATTAGTATTGATCGATAATTAATTTTGTGATCAAAAGAGACTAATTAACTATGTGGGGATTGATTATGTAAATCAATGGTTCTTATAGTGTGGGCTAATGATCCATGGTTATTTAGGATGGGCTAAACCAATGAGATAATCCATGGATAGTGCATGGAGGTTTAACCCATGGAGCCTAAGTAATATGAAAGGTCATTAGGGTTTACAAGGTGTAACCCTAGCATTTATCACACTATAAAAGCACACCCATAGAGCCAAAATCGACTACTCCATTCATTCTAAGAGAGTGAAGTTGATTTTATGCTAATTAACTTATTCACTCAAGCCTCCTCTTGCATTTGGTGTTTGTGAACCATTAGAGGCATCACACTTGAGGTGCTCAAGCTTTTGAAGGCCAAGAACTACAAGTCCTACTAAGAGGTAAGTTATCTAACTAGTTGTATTGTTCAATTATTCAACTGTATGCTAGTTAGGGAGAATGTTTTGGAAATTTGAAAATGCATGTATAATTAGAGAAAACATAAATCCAAAGCATTTAGGGTTGCATGTGCACCATAGGAGTGTTATAGTGCTCAAAACCCAACAATTGCAATGAATACTTTTCTTTCTCTGTTGTTATATAGTCGTCCCTAATTCTTATTTTATCTTCAAAACGGTCCTTTTGCCGCCCAATATCTATCATTTCTGCATCCTTCTCAGCAAGCCATTTTTCAGTCAGTTTGATAGTATTTTTTATTCATTCCTCATGATATTTGATTTTTTTTATTAATCTGCATCCTTTCCTCAACCTCTTTGCACTTTGCCGCAATGAGGTCACGACGTTCAGTGAGGGCCCGAGATGACTCTTTATCTTTTTTTTTGTTGTTCTTCAGCCCATTGTAATTGTTGCAAAGTATCATCAAACATATATGGCTCTCTTATGTTTGGTGATGGGGCAAGAAAAGGGTCGATTGGATCACAATAAAAACAATCTAGTTAGTTGCACGAGCAAATATACAAATTTGAAGATGAACTCATATTAAATTTCAAAATAATTTGTAACTCTTTACCAAAAATTCAACGATCATCCATGACAATATATAGACCCTTCAACTCCGCAGAGAGCTGTTTGTCAGTCCGCAGAGCTGTTTGTCAGTTCGCATAGCTTTGTGTCAAGTCGTTGTCATCCATACATTACAATTATGGGAATACAATTATTTATTAAAAGGTAAACATTATTTATTAAAATCTAAACAACGCCACCGGACCAAAAGTAAGGTTAACATAGAACTGAATACAAACTAATATTCGTTGTGATCCATACATTACAGTTCAAGTGAATTGTCGTGGAGGTAAGACGACAACACTTTCAACTGGTATTTCCCAATGCCTAAGGGTTGGCATAGGATTGACCGTCTCAGTTTGAAAACCATTTCGATACACCGCGGTAGTTAACTTTAAATTTACCATTTGCTGGATTTCTACAATTTCAAGCCTTTGTAGTGAAGCTATAGCATGCTCACAAGGTATACCACATTTTTGCCATTTACTGCAACTATAAATACCATGGTCTAATTGCACGGATTCGATGGTTGAATACTTACTTACTTCATATCTGTCGCCAACAATATGCCTACTCCTACAACCATCGGAGTGGATAAATCTTTTATGAAGTACCTTAAGTGCATAAGGGGTTAGAAGACCATGAAAATCCCCTGTGAAATGAACTGAATGATAAAACAAAAATTATGATGTCATAATGTATAATAACATATCATTTGACCATTTGAATGATGTCATAACTTATAATTACCTCCGAATGCATCACGTTGAACATACACTGCTTGCATCGAGTCATGGACCATTTCAATGATTGTTGTAATTGGAAACTCATGCCTGTTTGTTCTTATCCTATTGACAACATCGGGAATGTCAATGAATTTAACATTGAAACGTACTTTAGGGAAAAAATCCCATACCCATTTTGCAATGGGAATATTGCCAAGCCAATCAAGATCATTCCCATTCACCTCATTTTGTAAGTTGTTAAAACATGCATAAAAATCAGACATATTATACGCTTTACAAGACTTCCAAAACAACTGCTCTACAACTGGAAGCGCATATTTTATCAGCTATATTTTTACAACAATAGTCATGATATGAATCAGGGTAGACTCTTTGAACTGCAAAGTCTATGGAAGCAGACATATGGCTTATGAACCAACTTCCGTATTGTCACCTAAACATTCTTTAAGCCTCCTCATGAACCATAACCATGAATCGTCACAGTTTATGGTTCCCAAAGCAAACGCTATGAGAAGGGGTTCATGATTTCCATCTAAAGCAACTACAATGTACATCGATGTTACGTACGTCCCAATTAGAGGTACTTGACCAACGAATATGATTGGTATCATAGACGTGAGAAACGTACGAATCTGCAAGTGAAGATAAGAATATTAGCCATATAACAACTTCAGATAAGTAAATATTTACTATAAGGGATTACATACCACGCTTCCCAATGCCACAAAACAAATTTTGAAACGATTGTACTGATCTTTCGTAATGCACGTGAAAGTGTTAGGATTGGTTCTTTGCAGATTATGAAAAAAACTCGGTAGGTTGGAGAAACTTTTTCTTAATACCTGATTGACTGAACTCGTTTTCACAACTTTCGACATCTTGTAAAAATGAAAATTCTTGTCCAATTTAAAAGGAATCAGTATACATTATTCCGCAGAACTGAGTTGACAGTCCGCATAACTGACTTGTCAGTCCGCGTAACTGACTTGTCAGTCCGCGTAACCTATCTTTTTACATATATTAAACCTTGTCAGTTCGCGTTACTGACTTGACAGTCCGCATAACTGACTTGTCAGACCGTATAACTGACTTCTCAGTCCGCGTAACTGATCTGGCAGTCCGTATTACTGACTTGGCAGTCCACATAATTGATTTTTCAGTCCGCGTAACTGACTTGACAGTCCGCATGACTGACTTGTCAGTCCGCGTAACCTATCTTTTTATATATAGTAAACCTTCTATCTATATGAAATTCACATCTTTAATTGACAATAGAGACTATTTCACAAAATGGCGTCCAATGTACTAACTTCTTCGAATGCATCAAATTCGTCAAATGCGTCAGCTCCAACAAATGGTACTTCTCCATAGACGACAACATAGGTGTTGGTCCTAACACGATGCTGGATTACCGTTTACGAGGGTCTACCAGTAATGGCCCCCCTTAATTGCCTTGTTGGTGATGAATCGTCCCGCCGAATATCTTTGTTCAACTATGAGGTGGGACAAGGATAAGAACGGCTAAAACCCGATATTGTTAGTAAATGGATGGATTTAAAGAATAAAGTAACATGGTTCAATCGATGTTACAATTATGAGAAAATGTGACGCTCTCATGCAGACGATGAAGAACTTCTTGACGACATGAACGGATATTACCTGTGCGAGTTTGATGGAACTGATTTCGAGTATACGGACGTTTGGAATCTGGTTAAAAATAAACCTTTTTTATGTAGACGACTCTTTTATTTGTAGTGTTTTATGTAATGTTTGTTAGTCGTACATTTTATTCGTAATGTTTATTTTTCAGTTTTTTTAATGTTGTTATGTTATTTGTAATGTTTATTTTGTTTGAATGTATCGTATCGTAATATTTGTTGGTGCATTATGTTTCAAAAAATAAAGGATAAATAACATAATAAATACGCAAATAAAAACTCAACCATATTACATATAAATAAAGCAATACAAGCACAATACAAAACGCAGTACTAGTTAAAAATACAAGAGATTTTTTAAAATATTCCAAGGGGCTTCATAGTCGAAACTCTCTCCGTTGCTAATGGATTTGTATTATTCTTTAGCCGCCTCCAAGATGTCTTCCTCAGTATCATTCACACGTGCGTCTTCCATCTTCTTATAAAGATCGTTGAATAACACAACTTCTGTTTTCAATTCATACCATTTTGCTGCTATATCAAGCGTGTTGCGATGGTTTTCTATGGTGGTTTCAGCGTCAGTGTTGAAGGTATTGGTTAAAAGGAGCCAAAACATTCTATCATCCAATCTGCTCTTCTCGTAGACATTAATATATGCACGAGTTAGAAGCAAATACTCCTTAGCGGTCCATGGTTTTGAACCCATTGTAAAAGATACAAACTAGATGAAGTGAAATAGATTAGATGAAGTGATACACATTTTTGAGTCGTTTTATATAGACATGACAGTCTGTGGAAGTGATTTGGCAGTCCATGAAACAAATATAATAACAAAAATAAATAAAAATAAAACACCTATTTGTATTAAACAAAATTACTAAAAACAAATATTTCATATTAATATATACAAAGTTCCTAAAACCAAGTTATATAGTATCCCAAATAATATTTGCCATCCTATTTCTGTAGAGAAATCCTGCATCTCTACGTGGCTTATCAATCTTCACCGGTACCCCCGAAACAATCATTTCCATAAACATGCATACGGATACTCCACAAACCCCTCTATCAAGAATATATTCCTGTTGTGGCGCATCTACAACATCAATAAACTCCACCCTTGCTTTGTCTTTGTGTCCATCGGGGAAATCGTTCTAGTACTCAATGACATCTAGCTCTGAGATAATACTATCTCCAAAACTTGTGAATTCTCCACCAGTGAAGTACTTTGAGAAGAAATTCATAGATCGTGCTGAATCATAAATATCTACTTTCCAGATATCTAAATGTAACATTGCCATAAACCAATGGACATCAATAACATTTATGGGGAATAGAACCTGCAAACAAAAAATAAATTAAATAGTCGTAAATTCAGTAATATTATATATATAAATAAATAATTATTAAACTTAACTAACCATATCCACATCCTTCCATTTAGGACGGCTTCCAACACCATTTGCTACATTCCTAAAAAAATGATTTTCCGGGTTGCAAATTGAGTTCTTGAGAATATATCGTCCACCTTGCGTTCACCGGCCGTCTTTCCATGAGCAAGGCACTCCATATCGCAATATGTTGTACATTTTAAGATAAAAATGTTACAATTATTTATATAAGTTATCGTCTAAAAAAGTAGTTAATATTTAAATTTAACGAATGTTACCGAATAAATTAACCACCCAGAGTCAGTAACTGCAATTAACCTCGATCAAAACTCCACATCCAGTGGGAGTATATGCAGTCTATGTTTAGTGTTGAGTTTGGAAGAGATCATACTTCATTCTTTCCAAAAACTTAACGTACTAGCAGCATGAACACTGTCCAACAAGAGATGATTCGAAACATCATTACTCTCTTCATTCACAATGTCTTCATTTGCTTTTCCAGGACTCTCCACTGCTTTTTTTTCCTTGTTTTGGTGATTTTCTTCAATTTTGGTGTGGATTGCATCTAAAAAATTAACATGTTAAATAATTATCAATAATGTAATATTTTATAAATATACCAAATTTAAAATATGAGTTTTGTACCACTGTGAACGGAGTCCGCTGATACCATGGAACACCCCTCTTTCGTTGCGGCCTAACAATAGGAGTCACTGTTTTTGTGTGATGTTCACCCACGTCCAGTGACGGCTCAACATGTGTAGGTGTACGCCCAACTTCCCCCTCCAAACCATGGCTAGCTATATCATCATAGTTCAATTGTGTACCATGGTAATATGTTTCTTCCTCCTCTTCATTTATCATCTCCTCCCCCTCCTCTCCAAACCCTGTGTCTGGCTCATCTTTTTTCTGTAATACACGATCTACTTTAGAAGATAAGTCAGCCACAACGCCTAGTAGACGCTTCACTAATGCCTTTGTGTTCGTCTTCTTCTTCTTTACCAACATTGTTGATGTGTCGCTTGACATATAAGTTCTTTCTATTTCAGGATGTTGCGAGGAAGAAGCATTTGTGGCAGATTCAGTCGAAAATGTTTCCGACTTGTACATCTTTCTTCGAGGAGGCGAGGCAACAACATGTGGACTATTTCGGACTGGACTATGTTGCGGTGGGGGAGACTCTGGACTATTTCGGACCGGAGTATGTTGTCGTGGGGGAGACTCTTGATGGTAAAGAGTCCAATTCATGTAGCGAACATAAAACGACAACATCAGCTCCGTCGGGTTTGCCACGACAAAAATAGGTTGGTTGTTAGGCTGCAAAAATCAGATTGTTAGTTTAACATGAAAAAACATTGGAATTTATAAATATATATAATCCTTAATAATAAAAGCATACCACAGACACGTTGATTATTCGACGACATTGAAGCCAAGTTAACGGTGTTTTACTTCTCCACGACCTCATCCGTGGCAATTCTGTCGGCGTGCGTATATAAAACTGGGTTGCCTCGGGGAACGTCTCCAAAATCCATATCTATGGAAAAAAAAATGTAAGTATCATGCTATTATAGTATAAAATCAAAATACAACGATATTATATACTATAAACCGAAGTTCAATGTTTTTTATCGTATGAAAAACAAAACTATGATAACTATTTAAATGCATTAGAAACTAACCTTAAACGGAAGCATAAAACCGGCAACGGTATACTTGTGTACTTTCTTGGATTTGAGATTGACCTGCTTGAATAGTCTAAATTCTTCTATTTTCTTAAACATTCCACACATCAAGCGTGAAGTATAAGTCCAGAAATACGTACCCCATGCAAACCTGCAATTTTCAATTTATTTTTTATAGTTATTATTATTGTATTTATACATAATCTTTAAATGTAATACATGTTCCAATCATCTATATTATCAGCAAGCTTGTATACTGTCGCGGGAATGCCCGTTTTAACGTCCCGTCCGTGGAGACCTTTCAACATAAAAACAAGTTGGATAAGCATTACAACATCTTCATCCTGAAGTGACAAATAATTCGGAGACATAATGTAGTCTTCTAAATCTTTCAGCCGCAAACGTGCATCAGAAATGTCTGGGAACAACCGCGCACGAAGATTTGAATTTGACCGGCTTTTAAACCACAAATGAGAATATATTTACTTTTAAACCACAAATGAGAATATATTTACTTTCACCAAAATCCAACTGCATCCCATGTATATCAAAAAGAAACATCCCCATTTCAAATACTTGTTGAGACCTTACTTCGTGCAACATCATCAAATGCACAAGTAAGGGATCACCATGTGGTATATGCATTCCTAAGAATATTCCAAACGGCGAAGCTTCGAATAATAGTCGTTGTGATTGTGTTAGGCGCGAAAAATAGTCTTTAATGATAGTACCCACCACTAAATCCGCTTTTTGATTGAGATCATCGTGCTACAAAACATAACATTTAATTTCATATAAAACGTTAGTAATTGAAAATAAAAAACAAGGTTTCAAAATTACTTTTCTAATTCGGTTTATGAAATAAATAGCAACATACTTTTTATATATAACTAAATACCTCACATAAAGGGATATAAAGGGCATAATTTTTTTTTTGTGGAAAAAGCATTTTCAGGTCATTCCGCGGAGGCTAGAGGTCATTCCGCGGAGAACCCTCTGTGGAGTGACCTACACCTCCGCGGAGACTCAATTTTGGTCACTTAAATCATTCCGCGGAGGGAATACATCACTCCGCGGAGGATCCTCTGCGGAATGACGTAACTCTCCGCAGAATGGATCTTCCCAAAATCGAATCCTGTGAATCCTAACATCTACAAAATCTAAATTTTTATATATATTCCATGTAATCAATTGGGTTTTCGTAACATTTGAATCATATACGACATTAATCAAAAGAGGGGAATGTGAGAAATACCCGGGAGCCGAATCCATCGGCAAAAATATCGGGGAAATTGCCCTCCATCGGTGCCGAATTTTAAGTCGTATGTACTCGATTTCGTCGGAAAATGACGTTGTTTGATGTCGTTGTCGCTGGATTTGAAGTCGTCGCCGGAATCGTCGATATACACAACCGATGCGGAGAAACGATTTTTGCCAAAGAGGAATCGGGGGGCCAGTGGGGGACCAAAGAGGAGGAATCGTTTTTGTCAAAAAGAAGAGGGTGAAATTACAAAAGTACCCCTCTCCGCGGAGGATTCATTGTTCCGCGGAGGTCCGCAGAGGGTCCTCCGCGGAATGCATGTCTATATCCAAAATTGTCATTTTTCATGTCTAAATTTTGAAATTACCCCCCATTTTTTGACTATAGCCGGTATTTTCCATATCCTTTAGTATTTCTATAATGTTCCAATTAATTAGTTTTTAATTAAATAACATTTAACCCCTTAAATTAATTAATTCCCAATTAATTACAAAAAAATTAATTAATTTTTCAAGCCATGAAAAATTAATAAACTAACTTCTTCTAAATCCATTGTGCTCAAATGGGTCATGAATGTTATTATTAGAAATATTACCAATAATTAATGACCTTATACACTCTTTCCAATATTTAGACTTCTTGTTTTCCTTTTCACGACACCTTAATAAGAGTAACTATGATATATTTGGGAGTATTTAGACTTTTATCGTCTTTATCCTCGGGTATATCTAATGACATATGTTTAGAAACCAAACAAAATAGATGATTATATATGATGTACATCCATGAAAATATTAGTTAAGATATTAATAATAGAGTTCAACATTAACAACAAAGTGAAAGCAAAACCATGAGGCTCACAAAATGAGCAATCACAACATGTCGAAAGATATGAAGCTTTCAATAAGCCAATACACGCACTCCCCAACATGAATACATCATATTGAGAAAGCAAACAAGAAGCTTAAAATGATCCAAAAAAGAGACTGACATAACATGCCGAGGGATATGCAAGTGTTCAACAACCCGATACATATACTCCCCCTCGCATGAAGATATCTCAATAAACAAAACAAACATTCTCCGATGGAATCATCTTACATCAATATTGTCGTAACACTCATATAAAATTTCAGTAAGTCTTTTAGGCATTATCAATGTTCGATATTAGATGTTGAAGTCTCCGACAATATCAATGGCTTATCATTTTTTTTTAAATTTATATAGTAGTTAGTTAGAGGTTGAGAGGTTTATGTCCTTACTTTCCATTGTTCTACGGACATGAAGAGTGCATTTTTTTAGTTATATTAGCGGATTGTCGATTTGACTGATTTTATGTAATGTTATATAACAATTCATTCTATAGCAATCTATCATATATTAAAGTAAAAAGTTTAGAGTTAATGTAACTATGTAATACAATTGTTTATTGCTAAACAATGAACCAACAATACACCTACAAGGAAACAAAAAATTCACATTAACAAGTGTTTGTTAATTGTTAAGTAACGAACCAATAATGCATATACTATATAACAACATATTTGTTATTTTATTTTTAGCATATTCTTGTTGCCTTTTGGTTGCCTAACGAGCATTCTTTGCAATATTATGGATTTCCTTGTTTCATTACATGGATTCTCTTCCTTTTTATGCTACTAAGGGGTATTATCGTGACATTCTTTTTCAATGTATCAAACCTTAATGATGCTTAGTGGGCATCCTTGCAACAATATGATTTTTCCTAAGAGGGCTTCTCTTCTTTCACATTCGGAGATCATTATTAGTTGTTTGTTTGGTTTATTCAGTATTCACATTCATTTTAAGACACATGGAGTAATGACGACACTGGTGGCGAAGCACCAACAATCGAAATCGACTTGTGGAGATGAAATACTCATCTGTTGCCGAATGGGAACACAACCAAATCGAGATCATAACGATTGACCTACGATTTGAAGAACCCCAACTACATTACAATAACCATACAAAATCCAGAATATATGATCTCCAAATCTCAAATAAATGGAAATAGAGGTCCTTTAAAGAGTAGAAATTATGACTTCAGTGTGTATGGTTGAAGTTTAAGCTAGACCGAACAAAACATCAATACTTGTGAGGAAAATTATTTATCCCAATTCTCAAACAAGTATTGAATATCTTTCATGTCACAATCGGCAAAACCGCAAACACAAGAGTTGGCGAGTGTATTTAAAATATGAAAAATTATGGTACAGTTTCGTCATTTTTATGAATAAGTCGAACAACCTTTTAATTGAAACTTCCAAGAGAAGGAGAAAACATTTCCCCCCGCCCAATGTTCCAACTTCCCATTGTGTCTCTTTATGCACATTAAAGATTAAACCCCCAAATTGCTTCAGAGGCGCAGCGCCAAAACCCTTCTTTGAACTGCTGCCGGATTCTCTCATCCACCGCCGGTAAAATCTCACTGCTTCCTCCACTTCTCCCTCTCACACAGACGTTGCTTTGTTGTTTGTTCTGAAAATTATACTCAATAGTCCATCCTTCGCCAAAAAGAGGAAAACTATGTTTTCGAAAAATCGAATGGGATGTTTTCAAGTGTAAATTTGTACTGCGGTAGAATGATCACACTAACGCTAGCATCGGAGTCCATGTTAATTGTTTTTCAAACTTTGTTTTCTCAAGCCTTGGAAAATTTGAACCCTACTATTAAGTATTTAACCCTTATGATAAATTCGAAGTTTCTGATAACAGTGTTTAACACGCTCTGTCAGTCAAGCGCCCGCAAGTGGTTGAACAGTTTTGTCAGGCTTAATGGATGTGGATCCTGATGACGTTTTCCGAGATGAAGAAGACGACCCCGAAAATGATCTCTATCAGGTTCTCTTCCCCAACTCGGTTCTCAGTATGCTATCGCTTCTACCTGATGTTTTATTTGTATCTTCATAATTATCTAGTTTGAATTTACCTTTTGATTTTTTGTCTTATTAACATATTGTTTTTGCTGTAACCATTCTGGACACTAGGAAAGACAGTCGAGCAAGGAACTGGTGGTGTTCTTGGTGGATGCTTCGCCAAAAATGTTCAGCATCACTTGTCCTGGGGTTTGTAAATATCTTTATTTACATATACACACAATTGTTACATGTTTTTCATCGTTCTAAAGAATTACCATGCCTCTTAGTTTGTTTACTGAATCCAAATGTTTTTTGCCATTTAAATCCGCAAGAGAATAAATGTTTTGTTGATGTAATGCTTTACAGGAAGATGAAGAGAACACATCTCATTTTCATGTTGCTGTGAGTTCTGTTGCACAGTCTATCAAGGTTCAGATCATCAATAGGCCATATGATGAAATTGCAATATGCTTCTTCAATACTGTAAGAAATCTACTCACTGAACTGAGATATTTTTTGTGATTTTTGGTACACCAACTTCTTTACTTAAATCTTTATTGCCAGAACTAATTTGTGTTAATGTTTATTCCAATGGGTATCATTGACAGAAAGAAAAGAAAAATCTGCAAGATCTTAATGGTGTTTATGTATTTAATGTTCCTGAAAGAGAACAATTGGGCAACCTTACAGCACGGTTTATAAAAGAGTTTGATCGTGTAGAAGGTACAACCATGGTGTCAACATACAAATATAACCTTTTTAAAATCTAATTGCATTTGATGAAACAAAATAGACTTTTCTTGTTTATCTTATGTCTGTTTTATGAATGCAGAATCCTTCAGTAAAGTTATTGGTAGTGAATTTGGTATTGTTCCTGGATCTAGAGATAATTCGTTGTACAATGCACTCTGGGTTGCACAAGCATTGCTGCGTAAAGGGTAGGAGTTTTATTATTTTTACCGTTTTACCCCTTTCTTAGGAAATTACTGCCTTACTCCTTTGAGGGTATAACAATGTTGTAAATTCTGCAGATCTGCCAAAACAGCTGATAAGCGCATCTTATTGCTTACAAATGAAGATGACCCTTTTGGAAATATCAAGGGAGTTACAAAACTAGACATGGCAAGAACAACATTGCAAAGAGCTAAGGTCAATATTATAGTTTAATGTAAATATTTAAAAAAAAAAATAATACTAAAACCATTACAATAAGAATTTACAAGATTCTCTTTTTGAACTGTTGCAGGATGCACAAGACCTTGGCATCTCAATTGAACTTCTACCATTAAGTAGTCCAAATGAAGAATTCAACGTCTCAACTTTTTATGCTGTATGTTGATTTTAATGAATATATGCATTAAGTTATCAATCTTTTAGCTAATTACACATCATCACATGAATCTTTTTAACAGGATTTGATTGGATTGGAGGGTGATGAACTAGCTCAGTTCATGCCATTGGCTGGAGAAAGGTATGCATGATATTGAATATTGATGAATGATGATCTTCCAACTATCATGGTCAGATTAATATGATAGTGATTTTGTACAATTTGTTTTTCTATTTTTCAATTCAGATTTGAAGACTTGAATAAACAATTAAGAAAACGTATGTTTAAGAAGCGAAGGGTTCGAAGGATCATATTTACAGTTGCAGGTGGCTTATCGATTGAACTGAATACATATGCACTGATTCGTCCCACTGTTCCAGGTCAGCAATTAGATTTTCTTATTCTGTTATTTTTAAATATACAATTTTTAGGACTGATTCCTTGTATTTGTTGTTGCAGGGACTATTACATGGCTTGATTCTGTCACTAATCTTCCATTAAAGGCTGAAAGGTCATTCATCTGTGCTGACACTGGATCAATAATTCAAGAGCCTCCAAAACGTTTTCAAACCTACAAAAATGAGGACATCAAGTTTGCAATAGAAGAGCTTTCAGAAATCAAGAAAGTTTCAACAGGAAGCTTAAGGCTTTTAGGTTTTAAGCCATTAAGTTGCTTGAAGGATTATCACAATTTGAAGCCATCAACATTTGTCTTTCCTAGTGATGAGGTTCTTACATCTTAATCCATACATAAAAATAATAATACCTTTTGGATACCCTCATAACTCAATCAAAGTTATATAATTTGCAGGAAGTGATAGGAAGCACTTGCATTTTCATTGCTCTTCATAGATCCATGATACGTCTCAAACGGTTAGTACTGGTTTACCATAGAACTAGCAAGGGTATTTGTGTCTTTTTTAGGATTCAGTTTAAGTTTCTTGTTCTTTCTATGTGTTCAGTTTTGCAGTTGCATTTTTTGGAAGCTCATCTCGTCCTCAGTTAGTTGGTCTGGTTGCACAGGTAACGTATCTCATATCCACTTACCTTTATTTTCATTTAATAATTCATGATTTTTTATTTATTTACTTTTTTGAAGCACAGGAAGAAGTTACTGATGGTGGTGGTCAGATTGAGCCACCAGGAATGCACATGATATATCTTCCATATTCTGATGACATAAGACCTATTGAAGAGGCAAGATGGTTTATTAAACTTATATAATGATAAAAGTATAGCACATCATTTAATTTAAGAGAATTGGTGTGTTTTGGTTGTTGCAGCTTCATTCAGACACTTCTGGCATGATGCCATTGGCCAATGATGAACAAATAGAAAAGGCAACTGCTTTGGTGAAACGTGTGGATTTAAGAGACTTCTCTGTTTGTCAATTTTCCAATCCTGGTATACCCCTCTCATAATTCACACACACACAGTGTGACAGACATTGTTTGTTATAATCTATGAAAAACATTGTGCAGCACTACAGAGCCACTATGCAGTAGTACAGGCTCTGGCTCTTGATGAAGATGAGATGCCTGAAATTCATGATGAAACTCTTCCAGATGAAGAAGGCATGTCTAGGTACTCAGATTTTTGATATTTACAACAAACATTTCTTGTTTGTTTTCAATGTTATGTATTTGTGTGATTTCAGGCCAGGGATTGCTAAAGCCATGGAAGAATTCAAGATATGTGTGTATGGAGAGAGTTATGATGAAGAAGAGGAAAAGGCTAAGGGAGCAAAGAAAAGGAAAACTGAAGAGGCAGCAGTTAGCAAGGCTGCATATTATGACTGGTCTAAACTTGCAGATGATGGAAAGGTAAAATTTTAAAGTTTTCTGCTGCTCCTTTTTATGTTTTTTGAGAAGTAATATTTTTAATAACATTTGTTGTGTTGTGTTGAGTGTAGTTGAAGGATTTGACTGTACAGGAGCTGAAGAGCTACCTAACAGCTAACAAGCTGACTGTTGCTGGAAAAAAGGAAGTTTTGATTACTAGGATCTTGACACACTTGGGTAAATGACAACCTTTTTTTTTTCACTTACTTTTGGATTGTTATGATTTGTGGAATGTATAGAAACCGATGTTTGGTTTTGACCCAAACTTTTATCTTCTCAAAAGTTTGATCTATCTAAAGTTTAAGCAAGATTTTGGCTTATGGCAACTTAGAATCTCCTGTGTTTGACTGGGCAAGCTTTCTTTGACTATTTATGATGATGGGGATGAAGACATTTTGTCTTTTGTACAGTCTAGAGATTCAGAAATAAAAGTAATCTGGATTTGTATATTGGTAGAGAAAAATATAAGCCAAACATTAGATTATTTTGATAAAGTCAAAATGAATAGTTATTTTAAAAAGAGAGTGATAAGTTTGAGGCTTGTATGAATTAATAGATACTTTATAGAGAGTTACACTACGAAGAAATATGCGTGAGAAAATAATTTGATGGTTTACTGTGGAGGTAAGAGGATAAAGGAGAGAGAAAGGTAAAAGAACTTGTGCTGCAAAGTGCAAAGGGGTAAATAACTTTTATGTGCAACGTACATGACAAGGCTTGATGGAATCTTTTAAATAGAAACTGCAAACTATTGGACTATATTCATAAATATCTAATAGGCATGGTGACGATTAGTGTAATTTAGTCAAAAGTTTTGAGTGATGAAAGAAAATCATGCTTTAGTGTTTGTCAAAAATCCAAAATGCATCAAAGTATGTTAGAAAAATAACACCACAATATCAAAAGTGTAACCTAGATAATTTCAAAGGTTATCAAAACACTTTATAAAATATGTGATATCGATCGTTTATTAAAACACTTTATAAAATATGTAATATCGATTGTGATGCATCGGACATCATAAAATTAGATTTGGGACAATCCAAGGAAACACAATCTCAACAACTGGTAAAATCCAATATCAAACACAAAATACCTTGCTTTCATATTATGTTCTTCGAGTCAGAAATTTTTGCAAAGTAAATTTATGTATTCTAAAAGTATCTCTGCAAGAACCGAAATCATGAATTTATACAAAGATCAGTTGTTATTTTTGGTTATTTGACGATAAAAGTTGCGTCTATTGGAAACAAACTTAATGGTTAAGTTTTGGCGGAAAAGTAACAAATGGATACATCCATTGTAGTGGGGGAAAGTTGTGTCTATTGATAAAGTGCATGTGCATGAACTAGAAGGACTACTCGTATGGGTGTGAACTTTTGTCGCTTCAGAAAGCTTGGACTTTGACTTTTATGCACTAATGAGTATATATATCACATGGATTCTAAGAATGTTGACTATGAACATTAGAATTTGTGTATAGCATGTGTGTATAGAATCTCCGGTTACTCAAATGAGTTGATAGGTTTAAACCTTAGGACACCCAAATTCTCAAGTATTTGAAATGTCTATTATATCAATACAAAAAAATTTAGTCTTCAAGATATTTTTATTTATGCATGAGTTTGGTTTTATGTTTGTTATTTTAAGTTGATCATGGATTATACTAAAATGGGTGAGGAGTTTTTGATGATTTTAATATCATCAAGCCATTTGGGATAACTGAGATTAAGTTAGCTAACTTAATTTGCAGGTCTAAACACATACCTTGAGATGATGTAAACAAATATGATTCAAACTGCAAAAGTAAGTTTTCCACACTAAACTCAATGCCAAACAATGTATTAAGAGGAATTTGTGTATCTCGCCATCATAGATATCAAAAGGGACTTAAACCCATCCCAATAGCGAACTTATTTATCAAGTTCCTAGCTAATACTTTCATCAAGTGATCAACTATATTCTTTGAGATCGAACAAACTCAATAGAAATCATTTGATGAGTATCAACTCATGTACTACATTTGACAGATAAATGTCGCTACTTTCTATTATATACTTGATTATATGCCTTGGTCAGTTGGCCAATGAAGTTGCACTGTCACATTGTATAGAAATTGGTTTTTAGCCATGATGGAATCTCATAAATCAAGTTCCTTAGCCGCTATGCCTCCTAGGTTTTTGTCTAAAATCCCGAATAACCAATCAAGCCTTAAATTTATCGATTGATCTATCAACTTTCATCTTTATTTTGAAGATTCACTTGCAACCTAATGGTTTGCAACCTGGCGGAAGATCAGACAGGATCCATGTATTATTTCACATGATAGAGTCCATCTAAATAAATAATTGCTTCTTTCAAAATAGCAACATCTTGGGACCTCATTGATTCATCAAAGGTTTGAGGATCCCCATCAACTTTACAATTAAAGTCTAGTTTCAAAAAAACAATATAAGTCATCCTTCTGGTCTTAACAAATTACACGTCTCGTCCCTAAGACTCAACCATTATACCCCTCTTCATATTTTTATATTATTTTGACACTGTTGTTAACTACAATGGTCATTTTTGTATAACGTTGAAAAGAACCTTAAAAAGCTATAATCCTTATCGAAATCATTCCCTCATTTGTTGATCCGCCTCTCCCACTCTTGGCATCTTCATCATCAACATGTAGACGTCAGCTACCTTCTGCCTTTGTTTCTCCTTTCTCCTGCAACTCCAACACCAATGCCTTAGAACCCCATCATCATCATCATCATCATCTCTCTCTCTCTCTCTCTCTGACCGTTGTCGACACCCACCACCATCTTTCATTTTTCTAGGTTCGTTATTCCTGTGATTTTTTTTGGTTGAGTTTTCTAATATAGCGAATGAGGTGATAGGAGGTACCGTTTTCTACTATCTCATTACATTTTTTGGGTATGCTTTTTTGTCACACCCCCAAACCGGAACGGCGGAAACGTTCGGGGGTGGAGGACGCCATGTACAATATCACAACAATTGCACCATAGTAATCAAAGCAAACACAACCATTACATTGAATATATATAAGGTATTTACATCTGTTCGATACATAGTCTGTATACAGCAAAAGTATAATCAAAAGTATTAAAAGACGCGACTATAGAAGCTCCGTCTTCTCAAAAACCTGCGAGTGTACCTGTCTACCGGTTCCCTGAGAATACAAGCGGTTTTGAAAGAGTATCAGCATTAAAGCTGGTGAGTTCATAAGTATGATTTTGTATTGAAAATCTATCTGTGAATCTGTAAAACATTTGCATGTTCTCAAGAAAATCCAATATTTTCTTTAGTAATGAAAAGTAGTCTTAAACCCTAAGACTAAAATGTATGTTCGTTATTGTATTCTGTAGTTGTATATCAAAATGTTAGTCTGTATGCCTGGTTACCACCAGTTGTATTGTATGTTTTGTTCTGTACGAAAATCTTTGTATGAAAACACTGGCTATCACCAGTATGTATAGTATGTTCTGTATGAAAACCCTGGTTACCACCAGTATGTATAGTATGTTCTGTATGAAAACTCTGGTTACCACCAGTATGTATAGTATGTTCTGTATGAAAACCCTGACTACTACCAATATGTATAGTATGTTCTGTATGAAAAACCTTTGTATGAAAACCCTGGCTGCCACCAGTATGTATAGTATGTTCTGTATGAAAACCATGGCTACTACCAATATGTATAGTATGTTCTGTATGAAAAACCTTTGTATGAAAACCCTGGCTGCCACCAGTATGTATAGTAGTTTTATTACTTAAAATAAAACCATGTATTTGTATCCCCTGGAATCCTCCAGTTTTAGTGTATGATAGTTCTATTAATGAAAATAAAACTATTTGAAGAATTGAAATCCCGTAAACAAATGGTTAGTTTATACTGTTGTGAGTTTGGTATAACCATGCTTGATATGACGTAGTGACCTCTACGACGTTCTTCAGGCGTCGGATGTTATGACATTTTTCACCCCAGGCATGCCTGCCTAACTGTAGCTAGCAGTTCAGGTGTGGGATTGTCAGTCCCGAATAGATCTATTCACAATTCTCACGCTCTTCCTCCAGGAGACTCTGGTTATACTGTGGTAGGATTTAGTTCCGCATCCCAAAAGGTACAATTGAAGTAGTGCCTCACAACCCTGTATTAACTAGTTTACGTGTACTATTGTATTGTTCTCTTGTACTTGAAACTATATGTATACTTGTAGAGTTAAATAATTATACTTAAATAATTATTTAGTGTTGTACTCTTGTTCTCAAAAAGTAGTAATATATGCCATAAACTATATCTAACATAGTTTATATGTTTGTTAATGTTTAAGTTCTGGACTTGATAAATTCGTGTATTGAATCCCAAACTATACCTATTATAGTTTGCATGTATGTTATGTATTCGATTCATGTATTGTACTAAAAACTTTGCAATTATGGTTGTATGTTGAAAAGCTTCCCTCGTGCTCAGCATGTTACAAAAGGGATAAAATATCTAAATATTTTATAAAATGTCGTGATCTCTTGGTTGTATCAATTGCATAAGTTTTAATCCTTTTGGAATCCTTTATATAAGAACACAAAATTCCTTTGTGTTTTGCTTGTATCCCCCCTGAAAACGTTAAAAAACAGTAAAAGTGTAGGGGTATGAACTCACAGTTGATTATGTGTACGAGCTTGACAGCAAAACCGGAAAGATGACCCTCGAGTTGGAGTACGCGGAATTAATGGTATCCTAATGATAATTAAACACATAATTGTATTTAAATTAGCGAATCTATTAATTAAAGTGTTAGAAAACACTTGCTTTTGAGTTAGGAATGTTACCGAGACTTGTATTTGTGGAAAACGAGGGCTTGTAGCCAAGGTTCACGGCTCAAGGCTGTTTGCGGCCGTGAACTGAGTTTGCGGCCATGAACGGTTTGCGGCCGTGAACGGTTTTCGGCTGTAAACGGTTTGCAGCCTTTGAAGATTTGAAGGCTGTTCTTGATGTTCTTGGGGAAAAACTTGAAGATTTGAAGGTTTGATCTTGATGATTTGAATGTTCTTGGGAGGTTCTTGAGAGCACTTGGAGAGGATTTTCGAGTGAAAAAGATGAGAAATGAGAAATCTCTCAGGGAAAAATTTTTATACCGGTTGGGTTTACGGTCGGAACTGGGTTTACGGCCCAAGGGTTTGCGGCCGTAAACACTTGGCTGAACGGTTTTTGCTGATTTTTCGAAGGAAAGTTGGATTTTTCGAGTGTTTTTGGTTCCGAAACTTATATAACCCCTAATTATGTATTTTAGATTATTTGCTAACCCACAAGAACTTAACGGAACAAATAAAATTCGAAATTTTGTTTAACGGAAATTGACTTTTGCTGACTAGAAAATGTCAGGTTATCACATTTTTTGCCAACGGGTGGTGGTGATGATAAGATTAATAATGGGGTGATTTAGTGGTGCACATGATAGTGATAGTAGTGAGGAGATGTAGTAGTGTAGATTGGTGTTGATGGTGGTAGTATTGATGATTAATGGTGTAGTAGTAAGGTGGTGGTATTGGTTATGGTGATTGATGATGGTTATTGGTAACGGTGGTGGTGGTGATGATTGGTAATGGTGCTGTAATTGGATTCAGTGGCGATAAGGATGAAGTTGATGGTGGTTGGTTGAGTCAACGATGAGTTTAAGGTGGACGTATGAAGTTGATAGTGGTTGGTTGATTCAATGATGAGTTTAAGGTGGACAGGGATTGTGATGGGAGGGTAGATAGGATTGGAACATACAGATTTTATAATATACGGAAAATAAGAAAATGATAAAAAAAAAAAGATAATCTGGTGTACTTAACAAATCTTCTTAAATCGTAACAAAAGACTGTACATGCAAGTTTCAGAAATAAAAAGATAAAGGCACATTAATTTTTTAAAATCACATGCATTTTCTAGAAACCACTGAGATAAACCACATCAAATTTTAAAAACTTTTGACTCAAATAGATGTAAATAACAAAGACCAAAATTTTACTTATACTCGTATTATAAAATTTACACAGAGTATATTTTTTGTTTTTTACATCATTTTAAAAATAGAAAAAGAAAATCCTCCACTGGCAAGCAAAGGAGCGGTAATTGTCAAATCTCTGATTTCTGTTCAAAACCCCACCTCCACCTCCACCTCTGCCGCTCCATTCCGCCATGAATTTCTTCCAATCCGTCTTCTCCGACGATCCAGACCCTTCCGATCTGGATGCAACCGAAGCTCAAAGCCCGCAATCTCTTCCTCAAAACCCTGGTCCGAGCATCCCAACCATCACTTCCGCATGGACCTTCGGTAGTAGCTTGATGAAAACCCTAGCCTCCAAATCCGAGTCCGTCATTGAAACATACCGCCGTGATCTAGAGGAATTCAGTTCCGGGATCAAGAAAGAAACGGCCGTAATCCGAGAAGCAGCCGCCAAAGCCGTAAAGGACCTGCCGACCTCACTCGAAGCTGGTGCTGGCTTGGCTCAAGAGTCGCTCGAGTCGGTCGGCCAAGCCATCGACGATCTAGGTACTACCGTCACTGAAATCATAGCTCAAGGTAAAGATACGCTGCTGGCCGTTGATTATTCTGATAGCGATAGTGATCTCACCGATGCTAATATTAGTCAGAGAATCACCAGTAGCGAGAATCTGCGGTTTTCCAAACCTTACAGTAGACTTGATGCTCAAATTCTAACGATTCAAAGTGATATGAACACGTATTTGAATGATCCTGAGGACCTTATGGAATATAATGAATGGAAACTAGGGTTTAAATTTGATGAAAAGGTGGAGGAGATTACTGATATCATGAATGCATACAATGGGGTAGTTGGGGAGATCTACAAAGAGATTGTTCCCGCAAGAGTTGATGAAGATTCTTTCTGGAGTCGATATTTTTATAGGGTTTATAAGATTAAGAAGACGGAAGAGGCGAGGGTTAAGCTTGTGAACAGAGCAATTTCAGGGGAGGAAGATGAAGACTTGAGTTGGGATGTAGATGAAGATGATTATGAAGAAAACGCAGAGTCTGGTTTGAAGGTTGAAGAGAAGGAATCTGTAGAAAATTCACAAATAGAAGATGATGATGATGACAAGATAGGTGTTTCTGAAACAAAAACTGAGGATCAAAATGAAACAAAAACTGAGGATCAAAATGAATCAAAAGCTGATAGCATGGAAGCCAAATCTGATGTGAAAACAGGATCAGAGGGGAAGACAGATAGAGATAGTGATATTTCTATTGTTTCTAGTCAACCATCACCTGAAGAAGATGGGTGGGATGAGATTGAAGATATAGGGAGCAGTGATGAGAACAAGGAAAAGGTGGTCTCCCATGGCAATGCTAGCCCTGTTAGAGAGGAGTTGCGAAAACGATTGAGCATTGCTGAGGAAGAAGAAGATCTTACATGGGATATTGAAGATGATGATGATGATGATGATGTGCCTGTTAAAGCATAAGAATCCTAATGTAATTTCAAATTTGATTCATCAATATTATCCTACCCCTTCTTTGGGGAGATTTATTTGGTAAGTATTTGGAACATGTTCCTTACTCCTTAGTTCTCATGTTCTTTCATGCTTGTGTTGTACATATTATGATTTTATCTTTTAAAGAAGCAGATTGCAATTTATTACCTCACTTTATAGTACTAGTAGTACACAACTCTTGCAAATTTACCTTTTGGTGTCAAATTGTCAATGTCAACTTGATTTGATCATATGAATAATTACGATTTGTTTGGTAAAATTAGTGTATGCTATATCAAATATGTGCTCAAATCAGGTCTTTGATTTATTTGTTTCCACTATAAGCTTTATATATTGAACATTTGAGGGTTAATTTACATTGGACTGGACTAGACTCAATCAGTTGTTTTTAGTGTTTGATAAGACTTAGGGTTTGTTTGTTTGTTTTTTCTTATGAAGTCGTGTATGGATGGATTGTTTAATGGAATGTATGTTTGGATAAAGTGTTGCATACAAAAAGTCTTTCTATTTTTTGCACTGAACAAACTCTTTGAATGTGACTTAATGATCATTTTTGGTTCTGTTCAAATCACCAAACAGTTTGAACAAATTTCAGCAACAACCAATTATCAACATGAGTATTAGAAGATAGTTATGACTTATGATGATATAAACCCTAACTTCAATTCCGTAAGCAAACTGATTTCATCTTTTTGCATGAACACCAACTCTAATTGCAAAAGAGAGGAAATATAAGAAACCAATAAATTGAGATCAATATGTAAGTTTTCTATAGGAATATGGTTGAAGAGTAAAAAGAAAAAACAAAATAACAAAATGATATTCATGTCATGAACTCATCTTTCGAGTAGTTTGGTTCACCAGAGGCTTTATATAATATACATAAAAAAAAAAGATTAATTCCATCATTCAACAATGTATTTAATAATACATCGGATCTTAGAGAATTAATTTTGCAAGTTGGACTTCATATATAGAAGATACTATTGCAAAAGTCAAAGATATGTTAAGAATTGGTTTTGCAAATACAAGATACCACCAATAATAAATATTTGAAGCCATTATGTCTTTCTAGATTTTGATGTACATGTTATTATGTGGAATTCAACAGTTTTCGAGCTTGATAATATGTTTATACAACCCAACATACATAAAGAAACATTAATACATTTTTTGCATACATTGGGCCTACATGTGGACAAATGAAAGGAATAGTTGGTCTTTGTTGACCACCCAAACAGTCTGGGAAAAACTCAACAGCATAGCTTTTTCTTTCATACAAAAATAAAAATAAAAATTATATAACTATGTATAGACCCATACCAAAATTGAAAAATGGGTAACAATTGATGACCTTTATAGTGTATGCAATACATGTCAAATTATTTATTCCCAATTCTACATAAACCTCCAAAACCTACTGAATCGAACTAAAATTAGCATTAAGAATCAAAATAAACAAAGCATGAAATCGAGGTATTGCTATCAGCAGATGTTGACACCAAAAAAGAAAGAAAGAAGTTTTGAATAATAATGTTTATTTAAAAGTAGGCCGACTTGAGAGTATCATTTACAATGCTTTCGAGACTAAGGAACGAGCTTCTTCTCACCATTCCAAAAAAAAAAAAAAAACAATGCAACAACAATATAAAATAACAACAAAATCCTTTACCTTTTTTGGGTTTCCAAATTCCAAATATCACTTTTCCTTGCTCTTGTTCTTGGATGATTTTGATGTATTCTTTCTTGATGGATCAACCAATGGTCCAGACCATGTCTGAATAGGAGCTTTCCCATATGAAAAATTGGAACTGAATGGCACGTCTGGAGGGTCAAAAGCTGGATCCATATGCATGTGATGTGAGGACCCCAACGGGTACCCGAGTGTCCCATCTTGATGAGGTGGCGGAAACTTCTCACTCTTGCTCTTTGCATTTGCATGTGTGATCAACCGTCGTCTCTGCCAACCAAATCAAATCTTGTTAAAACAAACAAATCTATTAATAAAAAGATAATAAAAAACGTATTTCATACATCAAGATTCATTTGCATCTCAGCATTTGCTTCAGGTGCAGGAATTGCCCTTGCTGGTCTTTCACGTGTGCGTGTCTTCTTCACACCATCAGCATTTGATTTACCAGCAGCTCTCAATCTACAAAAAATAAAAAACAATTTTATATAATCTGTGATACTCATAATAAGGTTTCTTTAATTTGACTTGGTGGAGAGTTCACAACACACACCTTCTAGCTTCTTCATCGCGTAATTTAGCATCCATCTCTTTGCTAGGTGGATATTTTGGAAGGCTTGAAGGATCACAAGCGTAGGGTTTTGTTGTAAAGAACTAAAAAAACAATAAATAACGAAAAATTAACATTAAGAATGCACAACAGATAATAAGAAATTTTGATATAAGCACGAAACACTCACTTCACTTCCCAAAGCATCCGTTGCAGTTAGACGCTGAGCTGGATCAATAGAAAGAAGGGTATCAATTAATGGTAAAGAAGATGCTGGAAATTCTTTAAATGTCTCTGCAATGCATCTTCTATACGACTGTTGTGGCTTAAATATCGTTGCATGTGGAAGCTTAGATTTTTTCCAATATTCATCAGAAGGAGAACCACATAGCTTAAAAATCTTATGAAGCTGCTCCACCTATTTACAAAGGATCAAACAGTCATTTAACATCCTACAAACTCGAAATAAATAAAAAAAATTATCATATCATTAATTAATTACCTCTGTTCGACCAGGCATGATAGGTTTCCCAGCCAATAACTCTGCTAAAATGCAGCCTGCACTCCATAGATCAATACCTACGCCATAATCAGTAGCTCCAAGAAGAAGCTCCGGTGGTCTATACCACAATGTAACCACCCGACTTGTCATTGGTTGCTTATGATTAGGATCAAAAAAGGATGCCAAACCAAAATCAGCAATCTTTAAAACTCCACCATTGTCAAGAAGAAGATTTGACCCTTTAATATCCCGATGTAACACATGGCGATTATGACAGTGTTCAAGGCCTGACAATAGTTGATTCATGTAACACTTCACCTACAACATCCATAAATGCAATTCTGTGAATCCAATTTTTGTGACATCCAGGAAAGTAATACTACAATGATTAGAAAGAATCTAACCTGGGGTTCTGTGAATTTGATTGTGGGACTTGCTGCAAGTCCAGCTAAATCATGCTCCATGTACTCAAAAACAAGGTATAAACTACATGACATTCTTGATGTCACTAATCCTTCTAATTTCACAACATTTGGATGATCTAGTCTGCGTAGTATCAAAATCTCACGCGCCATGAATTTCACACTTTCAGGTTCCAAATTGTCAAATCTAACCTTCTTCAATGCAACGATTTTTCCTGTCATTGTGTCCTTAGCTTTGTAGACATTACTGTATGTACCTTGTCCAATCTAAATCACAATATCAAAGAAAAACCGATCAAAACCATGGGTTTTGTAAAAAAGATTCAAAGAAAACTGAAAGGAGGGTGTTCATGGTTACTTGCCTTGTCGATTTTCTCAAAGGTATCAGCTCTCCGGGGTGTCCAGCCGTTGATAGCTTCTCCGGCGACTGCAGATAGCCAAGCTGGCCAGCCGGCGGCGACTTGTTCACCATGGATGTTCTTCGGTGGGTTACTCAGTCTGGGATTAGGCTTTGAGCGTCTTCTCTCACCTCTTGGTTTCGCAGCGCCGTCTTTTTGATCCACCGCATTTTGAGCCTCCCCACCACCGGCAGTGGCGGCGTCGGGATTTGCGGTTACTTCTGCTCTACCGGAATGAATATGTAAGCCGGTGTCTCTGTTTCGCCTCTTGTCTGCAACGATCTCAGAACTTGCAGGTCCGGAAGACGAAATCTCTTTCGCAAATACACACCCCATTCTTCGGCACATTAAAAACCCTAACCCTCATTCCGAGTCAATTCCCTTCATACACACCTGAATAATTATGGCGGAGAACATATTCCAACAGCAATGAATGAACTGGAATAATGGGTTTTGATTAAGATGCGGTGGTTGAAGAGATGAACCCTAGATTTCTTTTTTCCTTTTCTTTTTTCTTTCTTGTTTGCCCAACAAAGCAAGGGCAGCAATGATTTAGAGGTATAAAGCCCACAATTTATGGCGGTCAAATATGAGGAAAAACAAAAAGTTGATGGAACTGTAGTAGCTTTAATTGCTGTTTTGTTAGCTTTTAACAATTAAGAATGGGGTGCTATTGAAGAAGATCCATCTAATCCAATCTAATCTAGGTCACAAAAGTTGTCAATTTTGGGAGCAAAAGACAGATTGTTAACTTACGGACGACTTTCTTCAAGGGTTTGGTGGATTTGCAGAGTGACAGGGAGAGCTGATCTGCTCCCTCGACCTCTTCTACTTTCTCTCTCCTTTAACTTTAACAATATCGATTACTCAATTCACAATTGTCAATTGGTATATGCGTAATATTCAACTACTACTATTCCAATTTCTACAAAATCTATATCCAATTTTCTATGTTTCACTTCTATATACTTTAACATAATTCTTGACCCTTCTTGTAATGTCCTAGGTTTTAGCCCTAAAATAATGCGTTAGATAAACAATTAACGTAAAACCTAAAAATGTTGGGACTCACATAGTAAACGAGTTTTCACGTATTCAACACATTTGACTTGTTTCATTTTGAAATTTAAGGACGTAGTAAACTGCATACATTTGTCATAAAATATTATAACATTTAGGATTTAATCTATTTTATACAAATGAATGGCAATTATCAACTCTAAACTTTATTGTTGGAATGTATTAGGAGAAATGATTGATGTAGCAGGGGGAGTTATGGTTAATATTTGTTTTTGTTGTTGGTGTTTTTTGTACACTATTTATATGTTTACTCGTGTCATTTATTTACCTTTAATTTTATCATTCGTTATTTTTGTTCTTTAGTTAATAACCATTGTGTATTGTCCATGGTAGTCCGACATTTCATATAAAGAAGATCATGGGACTTGTGTTTTTCTTATGTCGGAGGTTATCAAGGTTATCAATTGAAGTAGTTTCTTTACCTTAGAGGAGTCTATTGTCTTATATATCTTACTTCCTCTTTACTCCACTCTTAGGGAGGAGGGAGTCGTTCCCTCCCAACCCACCGAACCCACTGCCACATCACTTTTTCTCTTTTATTTTTCTTCATTTTTCCGAACCCACAACACACAGAAATCCTATCTTTTTGAACCCACTCAACCCACTCAATTAAAAAAAATACAAAACTAAGGTACAAGTTTTAAAATACATGGTACAAGAGAAAATAAGAAAGAGAAAGTAGAGAGAGATGATGAAGTGGGTTAGTGAAACCAATCAACCCACTCGTTGAAGCGGGAGTGGTACAGCCGATAACTCTATTGCTAATTAAGATTTTACATTTGATTGTTTTGTATTTTTTTTAATTGAGTGGGTTCAAAAAGATATGATTTCCGTGTGTTGTGGGTTCGGAAAGATGAAGAAAAACAAAAGAGAAAAAGTGATGTGGCAGTGGGTTCAGTGGGTTGGGAGGGAATGACTCTCTCCTCCCTTATTGAACTTGTGTATTATTATTGTTGTTCCTGTTGCCAGTGGCGGAGCTTCAATCTTTCATCTGGGGGCCAAAAATATAATTTGTATCAAAATTGGTGACCAGGGGGGCCATAGTCAAAATTTTATATTTTTGGGTCTAATATGTATTAAACTAAAATATAGGGACTATTTCTGTCAAAAAAATCAGAGGGGGGGGGGCACAACCCCCTACCCCCATATAAGATCCGCCCCTGTTGTTGATGATGATGATATATGGAGGGTTTTCATGAAGTGGTGCTTAAAGCTTGGGAGACGTTAATACTACTTGTTGGGTCTTATGGAGTTTTAGGAATAATAAAGCTTTCGTGGGGAACAAATATCATAAGCAGTTTATCTTTGATTATATTAGAGAGTTTTCTTTTATTTGAAGTAAGAGTAGGAATCGGAAAATTGTTCTTTCTTGGCAGGGGCGGAACCTCTATAAGGCCAGGGGGGCCATGGCCCCCCTGATTTTTTAACTTACTAATACATGGTTTATATATATATGGTATTGATTTGATTTTTTAGTAACTTTTGGCCCCCCCTGATATCTTATGCAAATTTATTTATACAATTCAAGAAAGGTATTACAATTATTAATTTATTCCAAAAATACAAACATAAATTTTTTTTTTTGAACGGCAAAAAGAAAAAAGGCAAAAAATAAATCACGATCTCAGTCAATAAGTAATTAACGGAAATCCAAAAAATTACTGAAATAAAATCTAAACCAAACCCAATAAAATTAGGAAAGTAATACTCTATACAAAACCACAAAACGCTTCTAAATTTCTAATGTGCAATTTATTAACTCAATCTTTGAGAAACTATAAACCCTAAACTAAAAATTCTGCTGCGAGAAGGAAAATAAAACTGCTCACCTTCTCCGGAGTTCTCATCACTCACTCTCCCCTCTTTACCTTCATGATCTTTGTGCGGTCTCTATCTCTTCTCTCCTCCTTTTTCCGACTGCGACTCTGATCAACGTCTTCAACAGCCGATGCTTCCTCTCCGACGGACTTGTGCTGACTTTTGTTTGTTCGTTGTCTCTCTTCTCCAACATCTTCTCATCACCGGATTTGTGGTTGTATGTCTCTTTTTCTCGCTAATCTCTTTAACTTTCTCTTTCTAGTAGAATGTGAAATAGTAGAATGTGAAATGGGTATCGGAATTTGAAAAACTAAAGCATTGTTAAAATAGTAAAAGCCTAACAAATAGTAAAAGCCTGCAACAATGCTTTATTACTTTTGTACTGTTTGTCAATTTATGAATTGCTAATTTGTTGTACAAATGATTCGTACATAAATCTTACCAAAATGTATAAAGAAACTAAATATAACTTTGTTTTTATATGTATATGTTATTTGTTAATTTCTATTTATTTATTTATTCATTTATTTATTTATTTTTAGTTAATTTTGTATTTTCGTTAAATTAAAATATTTTTTATAAACAGTTTTCTGTAAAATCAAAATAATTAGTTGTTTGAAGCTTGAACAAATTGAATTTGTTTGTATGTTTTTGTATTGAAGTTTTAGTTCCGGCCCCCTAGTTTTAATGGTTGTGTTCCGCCCCTGTTTCTTGGGTTGACTGGTTAAAAAAACCAGTCAACGTCTTTTCTATGTAATTTTCAACTTTTTCTTGCTCAAGTGTCTTGCTAGAGTTGCTTTTTTTCTAATGTCATGTCGCTGTTAAATAAAAAACTTGGAAGACGGAGTTATATTCGGCCGATTGGTTTTCTTCTTTGCTTTTCCGGCCCATAGTAAAACTCATTGATGATAAAGGGGCTATAAAAATGTTTCGAACCGTGATTGAGCTAATCACCATGTCTAGTCTATTTGCAAGTACATTGGAGATCATTATTGAAATTGATTTTTCAACCTTGTACATCCTATAAGGTCGACCGAGAAGTAATCCTAGAGAGATAGAGGGCCATTTATTTATGGAATAAGTGTGATAAAAGAGGAGTTACAACCTTTATTAATAGTACCCGAAGAGTATAATTCCTCACAAAATTGGATTCCAAGATGCACCAATAAGTTTTTATAAATTTGAAAGTAACTTTGTCTGGTTTGGGCACCTTTTCATTTCAGTAATTCCAAACAACTGTTTTAATTTCTTTAGGAAAGAATGTAGTATTAAGAAAAAAAAATGTAAGTTGGCGACAAGGAGTTGAATCCGTTATAGATAAGACTTGGTCTCAAATTGTTGGATCGGAGAATTTGTTTTTGAGAAAAAAGAGAAACTCTCATCTTTAATGGAGGATGGACCCGCAATTCATATCGCTGATAGAAAGCCCATTAATTATATAGTTAGAGTTATTGTGTTTATGATCTCTTCAAAGAAACTAGAATTCTCAATCAAACACCCCCAATTTAACTCTCTTTTTGTTTTAAGGACGCATCATTTGGCCGTTCCAATTCTAATAATGTTTTCCTCCAACTTGATCTGTTTTGTATCTCATCAATAGATGAGAAATGTCTTGATTCGAACCAACCTCTTGCAATTCACTTTCACTTAATACATATTGGAATCAAATCTAAACAAAGAATCGAAATATGAATTTTGGTATTGTGTGACAAAGTAAGATCCAAAATTTTGTTTTTGTTAAAAAAAGATCAATTTCACAAACCCAAAAACCAAATTGATGGAGACACCAAGTTATATAACGGTTATAGTTGAAAATCACACAAAAAATAATAACACATGTAAAATAAATGAAAATTGTATTAATCAAAACGTCTGAACTACTACACTCATAACATATCTAGATCGACATACATCAATATTGGAAAGACAAACAAGGCAAATGATTTATAAGTCGTTAACGTCGAGTAACCAACATTGAATACTTGGTCTCCTTAAAACTTCTTGTAGACATTGATAGTGGCTAACACAACGAGTAGAAGATAGCATATGGAGCCATTGAAAGACAAGATCATTGCAGCAGCAGTCTGGTGACAAAATTTATCGAACACATTACACACTTTTCCCCATTGTAGGTGTGAGTTGCCTTTGAGGCCAATAAGACCAACAGCACCCGCTGCACCCATTGCCGAGAAGAGAAGTGCCACCATTACTATATCTAAAATGGTTACAATCAAGGTTACGTTCTTCTTTCCACCCCTAGCTGCTAATGTAACCACCAAAGACATCGTTGCATAAAAGCATGCTATTGCATTTGCGATCACAAGGTATCTACCATACCAAGAAAAAAATCTTATTAAATGAACTGATTATCTTGCTATTAATGTTATTAAATATAAATATAAGCTAGATCCATTCCAATAGCCAAGAAAACTGTTAAATCATATTTCATATATATGTTTCTTTATTTTAAAAGCGTGTGTGTGATTGCTTTTTATGGAATTTAAATATGTAAAGTAGGTGGGAGTCATAAGTCATGTTTGTGGGAAATTGAATTTGGAAATCTTATAAGTCAACATAATTGATGAACCACAACAACAAGATAATATATATTTTGCTATCTTGAATTTAATGTATCATATATATGTTTCTGTTTATTAATAGAAGTTGTTATGCCGATCAAAATAATTTAATGAAAACATAAAAATTAAGATGGTTGCCGTGATCCTTAGTGTCCCATCAACTTGTCTCGTGATCTATGTAAAAACAAATATATTAAAATAAAAGTTAAAGATATATGTTTCAAATCAATGCATAATTTTACTAACACCAAATCTTGAACTAATATGTTTAAATATTTATTTAGATACGAGGTTGATCGAAGAATATTGATAATATTTTGTTTAAGCCAAAGATTTAAAGAGTAATAAGAATATTTCGTTTAATTTTATTCTAATTGATTTTTTCATACAAGCATCCTAGTCATATTTATTGATCTGGCAGACAAATTTTAAATCACACTAATTCTACAATTATGAGTTTACTCTATAAATTGTTGTTGAAAATTTCAGTTAGATAATTTAATTAATGATAAAAAATGAAATGATATATTATACATAACTACGAGGATACGAATATATGATTAATATTAATAAATATTTGAATATACAAATATATTTGTTTTAAATCATTAATTATAATCGTTCTACTTTACCCGCGTAAACCATGAACATGAAAGGTAGGAGAGAATGAATACATACACAAAGGCAGACATGTAAAGCCACTTAGCGGTGACCGGCAAGTTGACCGGCGGCAGGGAGGGGACGATCTTTACGGATACGGTTGTTGACTGGTTATTCGCTCCGAGAACGACAGCTGCCGCCAGAGTTAGCACCAATGCTAAAAATCTCACAAACAAATCACTTCGCTTCACCTTCCCTTTTCCTGCAGATCGTATACCCACCTCACCGTTGATCCCCTCCTTGTACTGCATATCCATATCTGTAAAAATTGGAGTTCTGACGAATGAATTGATAAGAGTGGAAGTGAAGAACTGAGTAACTGGAGGTCCAGCGATACATGCATTTATAGGGATACGGGCCTCATCCCAAGACAAAATACAAGTCCTTTCTATATCCGTTTGTCTAAAATAAAGAGTGTGCGTATGTGTGTGTGTGTTGGAAGGGGGCTAGAGACATATACGAGTATAAAACTTTAATGAAAATAGGTGATATAATCATTCTTGATTTTGGTTTTGGTGCTTGTCATTCACACGACCATCTCCCTCTTTTAATCTTCTAGAAATGTGCGAACTCTTTTTTTTTTCTTTTATATTCCACATTCGTCTTAATTATATATACATAAAAGCTTAAACACTTCGGCTACAGTATACTTTCTTCTTTTTCTTAATCACACACTAAAGTTTTCCCTCTTTCTTTTTGGGACACGGATTTTCCATTTGCCTTCTTTTATGTATACCTGTCCGTTATTTTCTTCTTCTTATCCTTAATTTCGCCGACTAACTTCTCTGTTGTCTCCTTCCTCTTTCGTTGCTGGGTTGCTGTTTTCTCTAACGCATTTCCTTCATTAGGTATGCTTTCTCATCCTCCGTATCTAATCTGATGTCTGCACGTTCGACTTCAAAACGTGGTTTCTCTCCTCATTTAGCTGCAATTTTGTGTTCTTCTATTGTTAACGATGCTCTGCTTTTACCGTCTTACGAAGACGCCGGTGATTGCACTTATATTTGTAAATATTGTGGCGCTTTTTTTTGGTTTGAGGAAAGGGTTCTTTATCTGTCACGGCCGGACTTCCCTGCCTATACACGTTGTTGTAAGTCTGGTTCCGTTGTCTTGCCATATCCGCTCCCGCCTCCTGAATTGTTGCTGGCTCTGTATGATTTTCGTCCTTTTATTAAGAACATTAGGGCTTATAATAGTATGTTTAGTATGACGTCTTTCGGAGGTAGGGTAATGAGACAGTTAATAGGACTGATGGTCCGTATGTATTCAAGGTTTCGGGTCAGGTGTGTCACTGGATTGGCGCTTTTGATGTCGTAGATGAAAAAGGACCAAAGTTCTTGCAGCTGTATATTGTTGATACAGAGCATGAATTGGATAACAGGCTGTCTGCTTTTCGAACTGCCTGTTTAGATCTTACTATAGTTCAGTCTCTTATGGATATTTTTACACTTCATAATGAATATGTTAGAACTTTTAAATGTGCAAAAGATATAGCTGCTGAAAGGGAGCTGCCTGAATATGCGGTTCGTCTTTTTAATGATGTTCCTAATCGTCTGTATGACCCTCCCGCCCCAGGTAGTTTAGGTTGTATTGTGGTTGGAGAGGATGCAGTTGGTGGTACGTATGACATAGTTGTCTATTCAAAAAGTGGACCTCCACGTAGGGTTAGCAAACTTCATCCTAGCTACATGCCATTGCAGTACCCTGTTTTATTTCCTTATGGTGAGGACGGGTGGTCTCCAAGGTTGAAGCTTTTGAATGACGTTGGTTCGAAAGCTAGGAATCTTACGATTAATATGTACTACAGTTACCATATACATGCAAGGAATGCTGTATACTCTCTTGTACTAAATTCATGTAGATTGTTCCAGCAATACTTAGTTGACGCGTATGCTTGTATCGGGCTTTCGCGTCTTGAATTTTATGAACAAAATCAAGATCACCTAAGATCAGCGCATGTTAGTGGTATTTATGATGCTATATCACGGGGTGATACTGAGACTAGAGGTATTGGGAAGCGAGTTATTTTACCACCATCTTTTGTTGGCGGTCCAAGGTATATGTAGAGCCACTATCAGGACGCTCTTTCTATCTGCAGGGAATATGGGAATCCGCAATACTTTATAACTTTTACGTGTAATGTTGGATGGCCAGAAATTAGAAGATACATGGCTATGTATCAGCAGGTTGATGTGTCAAGCAGGGCTGACATAATCTCACGTGTGTTTCATATGAAAGTCAATGCGCTTATTGCATACTTGAAATCCGACAAGACATTCAGCCCTGTCTCAGCACGTAATTTCCTTTCCCTGAAAAAATTTATTATTACCAACTGTACCTCTATTTTCCCTTATTCATAATTTCCTTTTCTTATACTGTATACACTTACATTTTCCCTGTTTGCTATCTTTATTTTTTTTTTACAGATCTATATACTATTGAGTTCCAAAAAAGAGGGCTGCCACATTGTCATGCACTGATATGGATAGCAGATTCCCATAAGATAAAGGAAGCAGCTGCAATTGACAGTTACATTACCGCTGAATTACCGGATCCTGTTTCGGAGCCATTACTATATGAAACAGTTACAAGATGCCTTATACATGGGCCATGTGGATTGCTGAATAGTAGATCCCCATGTATGAAGGATGGTAAGTGTAAGAAAAGATTCCCAAAAAAATTTCGATCTGATACGGTTTTTGATAAGGATGGTTATGCTCATTATAAAAGAAATTCCACTGCTGTTCATAGGTTAGAAACAGGTGTAGAAATTGACAATAGGTTCGTTGTCCCTTATAACAAGAGATTGTGTTGTCGTTTTAATGCACATATCAATGTTGAATATTGCGGGTGGAATATGATGATTAAATATTTGTTCAAATATGTGTCAAAGGGAATGGAGCGTGTTAAGTTTGTTGTTCACAGAGATCCTTGTGCTTCTGAACCTTCGACCTCAGCGGAACCTACTGTAGTTGATGAGATTAAGAACTACATTGATGGCCGTTTTCTTTGTCCTCATGAGGCAGCTTGGCGTATACTTGATTTTCCTATTCATGACCGAGACCCGCCTGTTGTAATACTACCTGTACATTTGCCAAATATGCAGGCTGTTTTTTTTAAAGAAAACACTTTTATTCAACAGGTAGTTGAAAATCCCAGTTTTGGTTGCAGTTTGTTGTTAGGTTGGTTTGATAACAATAAGTGGGATTCAAGTGGTCATGATCTTACGTATACTTCATATCCTACCAAATATTGGTGGGACAAACAGGCTAAAGGTTGGAAAAGAAGGAAACGAACTACTTCCCATGCGTTAGGTAGAATTATCTTTGTTCACCCCTCTGCTGGAGAGTTATTTTACTTAAGAATGTTGCTTTGTCATCAAAAAGGGTGCAAGTCTTATGAAGATGTACGTACTGTTTCTAACACTGTGTACCCTGATTTTCGTAGTGCCTGTGATTCGTTAGGTTTAATAGGGGAAGATAAAGAGTGGATGGATGCTTTTACTGAGGCTTCCGAATGGGCTACGTCCTCTCAACTGCGGTCTTTATTTTGTTATCTGCTCCTTTTGTGTGAAGTTAATGATCCTATGTCTCTGTGGCTTTTTGGATGGAAGAAGATGAGCGACGATTTGGTACGGAACATTAGGATGTCAGACCCAAGTGTTGATGTAAGTATAAGTGATTTTCAAATACAGCAACTGGTTTTATATGAATTGGACCATCTCTTTAAATCCTCTACACCCTCAAAATCTATTGTTGACTTCCATTTGCCCAAACCAACAGAGGAGACAATTACTATGTTAAGAAACCGCCTTTTTTTAGAAGAAATGACCTATGATAAAGACAGTTTGACAGTTACTCACCAAGAGATGCTGTCACGTTTAAATGATGAACAACGTCACATCTATGATGCTGTTGAGTCTGCAGAAGCTACAAACACGCAGCTGCTGATGTTCGTTTACGGACATGGAGGAACTGGAAAAACTTTCCTATGGACCACGATACTTGCTCATTTCCGTTCAAGAGGGAAGATAGCCCTTGCTGTTGCTGATTCCGGTATAGCATCTCTTCTCCTTCCATCAGGAAGGACAGCTCATTCGAGGTTCAAAATCCCGATTGACTTTACTCATAATGTTGCTTGCAACATAGCAAAGAAGACAATGCTTGCTGAGTTGTTGAAACTGACGTCCGTCATCGTATGGGATGAAGCGCCCATGAGTGACAGGCATTGTTTCGAGTGTTTGGACCGCTCTTTGAGAGATATACTCGAATGTGAAAGTAAACCCTTTGGTGGCATGTCGATGTTATTAGGAGGAGATTTTCGGCAAACTTTACCTGTCTCACCAAGAAGCACATCATCTGAAATTATCTCCCTTACACTACCCAACTCATACTTATGGCCATATTTCAACTTGTATAGACTAACAGATAACATGCGACTTCGAAACTTGTCCGCTTCATCTGACACACAATTAAGCGTGTCACAGTTCGCATCTTGGCTACTCCAAATTGGAGATGGTGTAATTGGTGAAATTGACGCATATGATAACACGAATACCAGATGGATTGAAATTCCTGCACAACTTATTATACCTCCAACAGAAGGCGCATTAACCAGTCTTATAGACTTCGTTTACGGAGATGGTATTCTGGAAATACCTTCTGCATTGGTTCTGTCAGGTAGAGCAATAGTTTGTCCGAAAAACGAAACAATCCAAAAAATAAACGATATTGTTGTACAGAAAAGCCCTGGTATTTCTAAGATGTATGAAAGTGTTGATACTATCGAATTCATTGGTAACCAAAACACAGAGTTTAATGATTTTTATCCATTAGAATATCTTAATGCGTTGAACTTCCCTTCCATACCTGTGCATTCGCTGTTATTGAAGATCAACACTCCTGTTATGTTGATTCGGAACATAAACCAGAAAGAAGGTTTATGTAATGGTACGCGATTGATGGTTTCACAGCTACTATCAAATGTGATTCAGGCAACAATTATTACTGGGACTTTCATTGGTAAAAAAATTTCCTCCCCCGTATTACATTTATTCATAAAGCCCCAGACATACCTTTTACCTTTCTTAGGAAACAATTCCCGTTAAAGGTCTGCTATGCTATGACTATTAATAAAAGCCAAGGCCAATCTTTAAAGAAAATTGGAATTTATCTGCCACAGCCAGTTTTCACACATGGGCAGCTTTATGTTGCCTTATCTCGCGCTACATCTCCAGATTCAGTCAAAATACTTATACATTCTGATGACAACACTACAAATAACAAAACCAAAAACGTTGTTTTCAGAGAGTTTCTGCAGAAAGTTAATGACTCAGAGGTCAAATACATATTTATCATTTACTATTATATACAGCATGCTAATCTATGTATCTTTGTTGTCTTTACTTTACCAACTCATAAAACATGCTCTATATTATCATATTTCCAAATAACAATGCTATTGTTTCTTTAGTATCACACAAGAGATGTCTGAAATAACAACAACAATCTCAGAACTGCATTATGGCTGTCCGGGAACAGCAGTACAGGTATATGAATACATCTACTTTGATAACAGCTTTATATTCAGTTTTTCTGTGAAAAAAAAGTTTTTTAATTGACGCTTTAAATTGGTAGAAATTAATAACAACTTCATGTTAGGAACAGACATTTTTTAAAAACCAATAAAATGCTTATGTTCTAAATCACTATAGGTCCGAATCTTGCGTATGTGGACACCACAGATTAGAAATCAAGAGACATGGTTCTTGGCTGTTGACAAAAATGTAACTTCTTTGTTTCCATCTTAACCCTTTCTTCTAATATATACACACATTAACCGCATATATATTGTCGTTTTTATACAAGGGTGATGCCATTCAGATCCTCGGACAACGAAAAGATCAGGGTTTTCTACAGTCCGTGCTCATTCCTTCTAGATGCTACACAATTGAGAACTATGGATGTGGAGTTCCGGATCGTTATCAAAAGTGGGTAAATAATGATACTTACATGGCTGTTGGAACAGCATCCTCTATTACACCTCTTCCAGACACTGTCATTATTCCTAGACATTGGTTTCATATGATTACCAAAAAACAGATACCAGATTACAAAGATCAACATGCAGGTGTTAACATGTATACACGTTAAACATGTATCAGAGAAAAGAATTTACATATATAATTAACAATTACATTCATTTGGTTACAGATTTTGTTGGGATCTTCAGCAAGCTTATCAACTGCACAAAAAAAGACACCGAACCATACCTGTTGCTGATACTAAAAAATGAATAGTAAGTAATTCCTTTATCATATTATTCTGCTACATTACTAAGATGCGTCACACCTATAAACATCAGTGGTGAAGATATTGCAATAAGTTTATGGAAAGAATGCACCAGTACACCTTCAAAATTCAATCGGATTGCTCTTGAAAATACTCCTTCTCCTGTTATAGTCGTCGGAACAAGCGTAAAGATCTCAACTTATGCAGGTAAGTACTTATGAAAAAAATACGATGTCAATCATTTTAAAAAAATTAATTTAAGATGAATTTCTTCCATATTACCTTTGATACTAAATTTACAGGAGCACTGCGTCTTGGGACAAGTAGTCAGTCATATATACATCAATCCACCAATACCAGAGATAACACCATTAACAGACAGGTTTGATAATAAATGTAGATTGACTTAATACATTACATTATACATGCCACTCATTTATACATCAGCTCACCAATCCCACAAATAACACTTTATGGACAGATTTTATAATAAATGTTGATTAATAAACTACATTACATTGTACGTAACATTTTCTTTTATTGTGTTGCAGCTATAATACATTGCCTCAGTCACCACTTTTCCTGGATCCTCCAATACCATTATCAGAGATAGCCAACAAAACTCATTCTGATCTTTCGGTATGTTATGGCTTCATCTACGTATCTGTACAGCAAAATGAATTCATAAAGATATTCTTTTGCAAATTACAAAACTATCTGTCTTATATAGGACAAAACTCTTATGACAAAGGCTGCCATAATTGAATATGTCTTCTCGGACTGTTGGTATCATGTTCAATGTCCAAAATGTAAAATTACAACTTTTAGACAGGGGAAGAACTGGTTCTGTCCATCAGACGGCATACTTGACTCTCCATCCAGCACGTAAGTGTCACTCTATAATAAACATTTATTACAAAAAATAATTTTAAAAAAATTAAAACTTTGATGGTTGCCACTTACTTATTTTGACACACATACAGGTTCAAACTTAACGCAATCATTAAAGATGAAACTCATTCCATATCTGATAACGCATCACAGGACCTATTTGGCACAACATCAGATAAGCTGATATCAGAAAACAACATAAACGACAGAAAAGAACTACCACAGATTGCTATCTGCTTACAAGGAATTCCTAAAAAAATGATAGTTCGGATGACCAATACATCGACGGAGAATAACATTCGATTCATTGTTACAAATATTGAAAAACCACCTTCTGAGATACCATCTTCCATAACAACACCAGCTCCTGATCATCCGACTTCTTCCCAAACTACTGACAAGGAGAGTAGTTCCATCCGCCAACAAACGAAGCTAAATGTTAGAAGATCACTTCCGTTTGAAATTCCAGGTAAACTTGAAAATATAGTATACACATATATATAATATATACACATTACCAAACCACTGACTATAATTTGTTATAAATACAGACACAGCTGCTACAAAACGGAAAGCTGCGCGTAAAACAGATTAGAAGTGACTTCTAATATGTCGCAGGATCTTAAAAACCGATTTCCCTTTTGATGTTGTACATAAAAAAACCAACACTCAACTACCTTTTTAAAAAATAATACATACTATCCGTGGTTATACCCTCAACTGATTATCATGATGTTTGCAAATACAATTAGTCAACATAGAAAATGAAATAAATGTTTTTTTTTAATATACGTTTTTTAAATAAATGGCCACAGGCGAATGGCTTCTTAAAAACTTAAATATAGTTTTTACAACTACAGCCTCCCATGCTAAGGATAGTTGATTTTATCATGCATGTTAAAAAATTTAATTGTCGTCACAGATTCTCTCCGTTCGGTCTTTCCAATGTATTTTTAATCCTGTACAATGTATTATAAATAATTAGATTTTTTTTTTTTTTTTTTTTACATCTAACACAAAACCAAAAAGATATTTACAGCTAATATCACCTAATAATCATCTCTTTTCACAAAATACAAAATGGAAGAATTTTTTTTTAATAACATACATTTTTTAATAAAACGCCACAGGTGACTTCTTAAAAAATAATATATACTATTTGCAATGACACCCTCCACTACTATTTATGTTAAAGTTAATAAACTTCATATGCGTATTTTTATATCTTATATTAAATTATATATAGTACGTATCAACAGTTTTGATATAAGTTGTTAATTAAACTTAATAACTTATCTATACTTTTGGTTTTATGTATTAGTAAACCATCATATATTTACTATAATTTACAGATATTTGACAACGTCCGACTCTACTATTATCTTATCAACTAGAGGCTATCATAGCCTGGACAACTAAGAAATACAACCACACGCCACATCACATCGAAAATAAATTCATACACCTTGACTACACAGACCTATGAAAAGGATAAACTTACACATGGACATCTAAAAATTACATATAAAATTACTGCCAAAAGCTCTACTATATAATGTACATAAAAATACATCTTTAAAAATAAACCATAACGACATCACATACCATACACCTGCGATAAACAATATGAGGGACGCAGACTTCAACAAAATTCTCGCCGTTATGATAGATTTCCTTAGAGAGATCGGCGATCTTCTTGAAGCAACTCAGTCAACCAGGACCGGTCCTAAAAAATGAAATATTCTTAAAGGCCCAGGACGAACAAGAAAAAAAAGGCCCTTATCTTTATTATAATTTTGTATTTTTAAATAAAAATATATAATGAAAAAAATTGGACCCTGTGCAGCTGCCCACTTTGCCCCTCCTCTAAGCCCCCCATGCAGTCAACGTTAGAAGAAAGTTTTACTGTCGAGAAAAACATCCAGCTGTACATCACAAACAACGCAGCAGACCCCGATGTCCAGACGTTAAGTGACCTCTTTCAAAAGGCAGCAGTTGACGACCAATCCATAAGTGACAATATTTCGCTTACACTGGGATCCATTCACAAAAGGATTGGTAAATACAAACGCAAGATGAAGGAGACGTCGAACGTCTAAATTATCGCAGGCTATCTAAGTAGGAAGCACTTGTACTATCAGTATATGATAGTTTTAACATCTGTAATTAAATAAAATAAACGTCATATGTAACAAAATATCATGTATGAAATAATATAATCATGTTTGTTATTATAAAAACTAATATTATTAACAAACAAATACATAAACAAAAGTTTGACAAACAAAGTCCCAGCTAAATTTTCGTTATATAAATTTCTTTCTTACATATTATTTAAAGATTAATAAAAAAATATTTATATAACGCCGGCTATAACTTACATCACCCATCATGATCGTCTGCAAAAGTAATACTTACATTCAATATCCAACAACCATACTAAATTCAAAGACGTCTACTTAGCAATTCCATTTGTTAAACACTCTCACGCCATTACCATCCACATCACAGACATCTCTCAGAATACCAAAAAAATGAAAGCACAAGAGATGGAAACCATTCTCAAGAATCTCATTTCTCACCATGAAGCAGAGATTCTTTCACTAACCAACATGGAGGAAGAGTCCGTTGAACACCTACAGAAAAAAACTCTTGAAAGAAATGGACTCCACGCCATCATACACGAACTACCTGAAGATGAAAGAAATTCTATTTGAAACCAACAACGACACTGCTGCGCTGCTCAAAACCATGCACGAAATGAGAAAGAAACATGAAGACATTATCAAAACATTAAAAACAGAGATCAACCAACTCCTAGAAGATATCCATCCGTATGTCTAATACGTGAACCTCCACAGAAAACATGTTCTGCTAATATATTTTCCTTATGTAATCATCTTTTGCAGCCTCAGTTCCTTTCATGTACTACCATCTCATGAATATTATAATATGTTTTTTTATGTACAGCACACTCAAAAAACCAAATAAAACTAACAACACAGCGCCAAAGGCGCACGAAATTCCCTCTAGTTTGTGATGGAAGCACGTACAACAAATTTGAATTAATAGAAATTATGATCGAAAATAATTAGTAGTTTATAACTAAAAATGTTAGGATTAATAAATTTTTGTATGTATAAGTGATGTGAGATGTAATATTTTTAAATCTATAGTGCTTTTTGCTATTTTGACTTTGTTATCATCATAAAAAGCTTGAAGAATCGGTTTAAGAGACAACCCCCAAATTGATAAAACTTACAATAATTTTTAGTTGGGGTATTCTAACTTAACCAACTCTTTAAGTTTTTACTCAAATGTGTCCATATTGCTTTTTTTTAATATATATTTTAGGACACTAAATTTGTAGGTGACCTATTAAGGCTGAAAGGTTATGTATATCACGATAATGGTTGTGGTTTCCTTCCACCTCAACTTCCATCTCTTTCCACCTCACCATTATCTTCTTCCACACCAATCTCCATACACTTTGTCAAGGAAGTGTATAGTCCCTTTCATTAACATGATTTAATACTAGTATTAAATTAACATATTAAATATCCGTTGGAAGTCGTATGTGAATTATGTGCTTGTTGCCTGAATTATATGTTAAGATATATATTATGCTATGTGCGAACCGGATATGGTTCTATTTTATGTTAGGATAAACAGATAATATTATATAATAATATTAAAAGTAGAATTGTTGAGAGGATAAATGATTAATAATACCTACTACTCTTATGGAATCTATATACACTAAGATATGTTAGTGTCACCCATGAATAGAGTTGGTATTAAAAAGTTGGTTATAGGCAGTGTGATCTAGTCTAGGGATAAACTTAGACTCATGAAAGATACCTAGCTCAATTAAGTTTGATATTAGGTAGTCTTATTAGGAGAATATGTGTAACCTAGGAACGAAGAGTAGAGTTCTGTTCCATGACACTATCACGTGTCAATGTACGGTAGCTCCGTACGGGATGACCAGAAATGGTAGGTCCCGATCAGACAACTATTAGCGGTATGTCTGGTTACCCCACAAAGTAGGTGACACCACTTGATCATTCTAGATGGTCTTGTGAATTACGTTGCTAGTGTGAGCTCATTACTCACAGACATAGATGAATTGGAAAACCATATTCATCAAATACTCTGACAACCCATAAGCCTTTATGACTTACACCAGCAAAGGAAACCCCTATCCATGTTGTCAATCTTAACGATTCATCAAGCGAGATAATTTCTCTCTGATAATCACTGTTTAGGATCTGTGAGGATCGATAGAAATGGATAGTCTAAGATCTGTGAGGATCAGTAGGAATAGATATGTAGGAATGTAAGCCTATATGGTTATTGTATGGTAACGATTGGTTTGTAGGTTTGATGATCATGGAATATTATCATATCAACATCGTGGGATTGAAATCCCTATGTATCTCACCAGGTTTCCCCAACCTGAACCATTCAATTCATATGCATCACATGTATCAAGACTTAGGCCACTTGAACTTGTTTAGGATGCTGAGTGATTAAGAGACAACCTATAATAGTATTCAGGACCATCAGGTCTTTACACTATAACTTATGTATTTGTATTGATTATTACATCCTTAGGTTTTTAACATTTTGGAAACAAACATTTTAATCAAAATGATCTTTTGTACTGGCATTTTCCGCAAATATAAATAAATGATTTTTAAAGCGTAAAGAAAAGTTTAATTGGTTCTGAAAAATTAGAGGATGTCACATGGTTGTAGTGAAAACACATCAGACTCGAACCCAGAGGATAATCTATGCTAAAATGACCAGCCTGGCTGGAACTGAAACATCCCCTTCCTTTCTCACGACAACTCCCCTCATGAGTCCTCCTACACTTGGTACAACGTCCCCGACCCTGATAGCCTCCCAATCACAAATCCTGAGTCTTGGGCCTCTTGGCCTGGCCCATCGCGGTCTGAACCCACTCCGGCCCGCGCTTCGACCTAATTTCTAACTCAATATCCTACTCCCAGGATCTAGCAATCATATCTTCCAATGTCTTGCAGCTCGATAGGCTCATAAACTCCCGAATATCATCCCACAACATATCATGGTTGTCTTCTTCATCTACTCATCTGCAACGTACTGTGAAACCAGGAAAGCCCTATCCCTGAACTTGGCGGTGATCTCCGCCACACTCTCTGTCGTCTGGAGAAGGTCCTGAAACTCCCTCGCTAACTGCTGCACCTCAATAGCTGGTGCAAACTCAACCCTGAAACTAGACACAAAATCATCCCAAGTCATGGCCACCATGGCAACAACTCCTAAAGAGTGTTCGACCTCTTCCCACCAATCACAGGCTCCATCCCTTAGAAGGCAGGATGCAAATCCCACCTTCGATCCCTCCGATCAGAAAGTAGTCCGCTGAACATTTTCCATGTCAGTAATCCACCACCTACTCGTGATAGGGTCTTTCTTCCCAAAGAACTCTGGGGCTCCGCAAGCCTTAAACTCTCGAAAAGAGAGATTTCGTGCCCCAATCTGACCAGACACAATCTTTGCATGGAAAGCTCCAAACCACTCATCCAACAACTCCATATTCCCCTCCTTAATGGTACCAAACACCACAGGATTCGCATCCAAAATACTGCGAGTAATCTCAGACGAAATGAACTCACGAATCCTCTCATTAATCGGCTTAGCACCAGAGCCTGAACCTGAGCTGGAACCAAAACT